AGGAAGGACCTGGTAGGAGGTGATTGGATCACGAAGGCAGACTTCCCCCTTGCTGTTCTCATGTTAGTAAGTGAGTTCTCGTGAGATATGGTTGTTTGAAAGCGTGTGGCACTTCCCCCTTTGCTTTCTCTCTCTCTCTCCTGCCCTGCCGTGGTAAGACGGACTTACTTCCTCTTTGCCTTCTACCATGATTTTAAGTTTCCTGAGGTCTCTTAGTCATGCTTCCTGTTAAGCCTGTGGAACTTTGAGTCGATTAAGCCTCTTTTCTTCATAAATTACCCAGTCTCAGATAGTTCTTTATAGCGGTGTAAAAATGTACTGGTATAGCAGTTACTAAAATGAGCACTTAGCCACAACTTTGATGTTCAGGAAGGGCTTGGCAGAAGAAGTGTTTCTAAGCTTAGACTATAATGGTTAGTAGGAGTTCACAGGTAAAAAGGGGAGGAAAGAGTGCTCTGGAAAATATAAAAGTATACGTGAATGTTCAAGAAAAAATGTGCATCAAAGAAGGAATTAACCCGGGGTGAGAAGGAACACGACGTGGTGGAAAAACTGCATGAGTCCAGAGTCAGAAGACCTTCTGTAGCCGTTAAGCAGTGATGCCTCTTTCCCATCCATGAATGCAGGATGCACTGTGTAACGCTAAGAATGCGAGGCAGCTTTAGTGCTCATATATTATTTAAGATCTCTTATGCAAATTTTTAAAATGATGACACTCTTATAATGAGATATGAAAAACAGATTGGGGATGACTAGATGTTGAGTTGCTAAAAACCAAATCTCTTTTTTTCTCATCTTTGCAATAATTCACAGTGCCTAGCATGGTGAATTTATGTAAAATTGAACCAAGATATGCTTCTCTAGGCAAAAGGAGTTTAACGTGGAGTCACTCCGCAAGTACTGGTTTTTCCATTGGAGAACTGATTAAGAATGGACTCGTTCTGTTAAGAGGAAAGCTCAGTCTCCTGTGGTGCAAAATGAAGCTCTCTGTGAAGTGCTCTGCAGAGTACTCAAACCAGAAGCCAGATCATGGAGGCCTGATGGACCTGTAGCAATGGCTCTTAAACTATTTTACCACAAAATAAACTTGGTGATTTGTTTAGAATACAACTTTCCTTGTTTTAGCTTCCTACAATCTAATTGTGTTGCCCCAGGCAGAAGCACAAGAGTCAGATATACACTCAAGTTTCATTGCTAGAACCAAGTCCTTGCCCCTCACGTTGTATCTTTCCTGTGTTTTCAACCTTTCGTCTCACTTGAAACCCTACCTCAATCCTTGCTTCAACCACGTGGAAGTGGCTCAAACATAGCAGTTTATTCATGCCTCTATGCCTTTGTTATCAGCCCTCCCTCTATCTTAAAATGCTTTTGCCCTTAAAATGCAGTGTTCTGTTCCCCAGGTAACTGCCCACACATATTTCAAGACTCATCTATTTTAAATTTCTTCTCTGCCTTTCTTGTTTAGACTTGACCACTCACTCCTTAGTGTCTTTACTTTAACCCTGACCTGTGATGTAATCTATAAAACATTTCTCCACTTATTTTTTACACATTTCTTTCTTCTCTATTACAGTGTTTGATACAATAAGCACTTAATAAATGCTTGCTAAATGGATAAATGCGTGAATGTATGAATGAATGAGATACATTCTAAAACAGTGCTTAAAGCATGGATTCTGCAGTTAGACTGCCTGGTTTCAAATCCTTTCTCTATCACTTACCAGGTGTGTGAATTTAGGAAAGTTACTTTAAGCCTCTGTCTCAGTTTGTCAATTATAAATGAGAATGATAATTATAGTATCTGCCTCAGGTAGCTGTTAAGAGGTTTTAAATAAACTAATATTTGTAAAGCTGTAAAGCACTTAAAAGAATATCTGGAACATAGTGTTATCAGTGTTCACAAAATAAATGCATATACTACAGCAGAGATGAATGTTTACATTTATATCTAGAAACAGAGATTGAGAGCAGAAACAAATCCACAAGATGTAAGAAGAAAAAAGTGATGGGCTTGATGATTGAGGAAGAAAAAGGACTGGGATTAAGTCTTGGATTCTAATAGTCACTAGGAGGGGTCAGCAAGTTTCTTCCATTATTTCATTACTTTTAATTATTTGATCATAAGAAAGGAGAGTCTGGCTTTGTGGAAAAACAGTCAGTTTCATTAGAAAAGAGAGAGTCGGATGTTTTTAAAACAATGACAACAATATACCCTGAATAGTAGAGAAACAGAAGAGCAATTGATCTACAAAGGCAAGAGTCAGATTGAGACCACAATGAATCTGCAAAATAGAGGAGCCCCTGGGTGGGAGAGGATATAACTGGAACTCTGGGAATGTAAAGTGCATGGTGTGCTCATCTGACAGACAGGGCAGCTTAGGGGAATGAGTCTCTGCAGCGTTGTAGTGAAGAGAGGATACAGGACGACTGTGGAACCACAGCTCAGCCAAGAGTAAGTGTAAATTTCTTGATCTCTCTAAAGTCTCTCTTTTCTGTTAAATGCAAATAATAATGCATGCTTCATTCAGCAAGTTATTGTGAGGACTAAACGAGATAGTATTTGAAATTACTATGTAACAGAAAATAAGGTACAGATAATCCTCAGTACAAGCACAATAAATAATGTGGGACTGCAAAGATGATTGTGCAAAGCAATCTTAATAATCAATGAGAAAACTAATGATTGGACCTTGGCCTTTAAAAAATTTTGCCAAAACATCAAAATCTTTCTTGCTGTCATTGACAAAGGTACAAGGAAATAAAAATAGTAAAACTAATACCTAGTACAATATAACTTAAAACATGAGAAATGTTTAAAACTAATGTGTTTTACTTTTCATAAAAACTTATCAAAAGTAGTTTAAACCATGTTTGCCCCCTTGTCATGTAACTGACAGTGTGGAGCACCATCTTTCTTTACACACTGGTGAACTGTCATACGCTTTTCTAAGTACGGAATGCCTTCCGGCATTGTATTCTTTGTTCTTTCAGTGTCTTGAAACACCTCCAAGAGTTTTTTCTAATGTGAAAATGTTCTGCCAGCATTACTTCCTCTAGGACATCTTCATTCTGTTCATCACAACTACCTTTCCCATTTATGTTAAGTTCTCTTTCAGTAAATTTCCGTGGCCTCATACCTAGAAACTCAAATGACAGCAATGTCAATATTCCATCGTCAGCTGTCTTCTTATTGGATCTAATTTCATATTCAGTATTATTGCTTTTCATTTCTTTACTGCACTTTGGTCTCCTGCACAATTTCTTCTTTTAATCATCTGTTTTGTAAAATGTCACGTGAGTTTATCATTGGAAGATATGGAGGCAACACAATTACATGCTTTGCTGGGTGGTAACTGAGTAACAGATGTGCAGTAGCCATACTGAGGTGATCAGTCACTGATCATGGTGTGCATCTGCTATTTATGTAGTGATTTCTGAACTGAAATGCTATCAGTGAGGTTAGAACTTCATGAAATTGCAGTTAATATACCATGGTTAATGAAATGTGAACCATGTTATTGAGGGACTGGTGTTATTTAACTAAACCATGGTAACTGAAATTGATACATATGAATTAGCAAATCGAGAGCTGCCAGTATTTTAAATTCCATCCTTTAAATGTTCTTAATTTCTTTTTAATCAGTAAGACTTATGTTTTTATGCACACCATTGTGATGAGGATCCCAAGATTTTGATGGCTAAGCTGCAATTTGAGTAAGAGGTTCAGAATTAGGCTTAGTTGCTAACCCCACTCTCTGCGTGATCCTCCTTCCCACACCATTCCAAACATATCAATGTGGCACACACCCAGGCTGAGAACCACTGCTCTAAAGCCTTCCACATAATTGAAAGTTTAGTCACTCTAGCTTTGAATTTTTCTACTTAAAAAAAAAATTATTAAGAAAGCTCTTAATTTAGAATTTTTGTGTCTTTGCTTTTAATTATTTCTTCTTATTTTGTTTTTGCTTATTTCATTTCCATTTGCTCATTTCATTGTAAAGAAATGGCTCCGAGAGAAATTTAAATTACCTTTGACTTTTCAGGCTGCGCCCCTAGATCTCACTGCACCCCTTTTCCCTCTTTCCATATCAAGAAACAAAATTAAGAATAAACATAAGGGGAGACAATGTGAGTGAGAAAGAACAGAAATATAGCCCCATGTAAATTAAAATGTCAAAAATAAAAAAAAATCACATATTTTAAAAGGATTTTTCCATTAAACATAGGAATTAAATAAGAATTTATGATAGAGAATGAGGTTTTGGGAGACAAAAGCTTTCATTTAAATGTTTAGATTTATTTTTTAATATCAAGTATTGCAAATATTCTAAATACTAAATAATAGGGAAATGGCAGAAAAATATACTAACTAGGTGGAATACTACATAAATTTAGTGAATGTAATTGTTAGTTTTAAATACATTGTAGCAAGAAGGAAAAATGCAATAGATACAATGTGAAGTGAAAAAAGTAGGAAACAGAATACTTTCTCTGTAAGACAACAGTGCAAGGGAGTTGATGCTTCTGCCCCTTTCCTCAGAGCAGGAATGCCATTGCTCTCTCCCTCCCAGCACAAGCAACAAGGTGATGCTCGGCCAATTCCTTAGAGTTACTGCTCAGAAGAAACACTTCAAGGAGAAATAGTAACTGGCATGGCAAGGTCCTGTTATCTTCAGGTTCCAGGCATTAATAGAATCAAAATAGTAGACAAAACCCATCCTGATGCTTAACATAAGTTTAATAGTATGCTCTACTCTGAATTTCTAAGCCTACCCCCAACCACATCCCAAATGGTGTACCAGTGTGGCCCACTGCCAAAAAGAATATAATAATATTCCCAATAATGGATCATAGTTATACCCAGAGGAATAGAAGGTCAATTGACCTGGAATTCCTTCTCCTCTTGTTGTGAAGCAGGTTCACTGTGTACTGTCTGAGTCCAGTGAGACAAAACACCTGCACATACAACAAACTGCATGAAGAGACTTTTTACTACTTACAGATAGACAGCAAGGGACAACAGAACCCTGTGACACCTTGTAAGCCAGTCTGCAAGGCTCAAGAAATTTGCCCAGGATAGATGGAGTGTCCTCAAAGACTCCTTAAAGAATTCCAGTCGCATCCTGGTGGTGTCCCAGCTGGCTTGAGACCAGAGAAGTTGTCTCTTCTGATAACTTTGTATCCTGAAATGGTGCAAACGAATGCATAAATAACTGATCTTTTGGTCTTTTGAAGGAATCTACTCCCCAGTGTGTTTCTAACTCTCTAGGGTAGAATGTTTAGAGGAGGACAAATAAACTCCCCTCTTGATAATATTAATCCTCTTTTATAACATATCTGGACATGTATTACTTTTCTATTCTCCTTTTACCATGAGTGAGAAGACAGAAGAATAAAAGGGATCCCAAAATATATGGACTATGAAATACTGAAAGCTGAGGATTGGGAATTCATAGAAACTATTTCTCTGGATACTATTTTTCTTACAGCACAACTACATGACTGAAGACAGAGCTCATCTGGGTCAGTGTTTCAGAAAATGTTGCCAAGTTACTTCTTCAAATGCAGATTCCTGGACCTCAGTGCAAACTACCATGTTAGAAGTGAGAATTGGGGTGAGGTGGAGGAGAGGTGATATTGATAACCTGCATTTTTTAAAACTTTTATTTTAGTTTCAGGGGTACATGTGAGGGTTTGTTATATGGGTAAGCTCATGTCACAGGGGTTTGTTGTATAGATTATTTCATCACTCACATATTAAGCCTAGTACCCACTAGTTACTTTTTCTGCTCCTCTCCCTCCCCCTACCCTCCATGCTCAAGCAGACCTCAGTGTCTGTTGTTCCCTTCTTTATGTTCATGAGTTCTCATCATTTATCTATCACTTATAAGTGAGAACATGTATATTTGGTTTTCTGTTCCTCTGTTAGTTTGCTAAGGCAAATAGCCTCCAGCTCTATCCATGTTCCCACAAAAGACATGATCTCGTTTTTTTTGTTTTTTTGGTTTTTTTTATGATTGTATCGTATTCCATGGTGTATATCTACCACATTTTCTTTATCCAATCTGTCACTGATGAGCATTTAGGTTGATTCTATATTTTTGCTATTGTGAATCATGCTTAAACGTTTGTGGCCAGGTGTGGTGGCTCACTCCTGTAATCCCAGCACTTTGGGAGGCCAAGGGGGGTGGATCACGAGGTCAAGAAATCTAGACCGTCCTGGCCAACATGGTGAAATCCCATCTCTACTAAAATTACAAAAGTTAGCTGGGCATGGTGATGCGTGCCTGTAGTCCCAGCTACCCGGGAGGCTGAGGCAGGTGAATTGCTTGAATCCAGGAAGTGGAGGTTGCAGTGAGCCAAGATCGTGCCATTGCACTCCAGCCTGGTGATGAAGCAAGACTATGTCTCAAAAAGAAAAAAAAAGCAAACAAAAACATTTTTGTGCATGTGTCTTTATGGTAGAATGATTTTAGCTCTTTGAGGGATCACCATACTGCTTTCCACAATGGTTACACTAACTTACATTCCTACCAACAGTGTACAAGTGCTTCCTTTTCTCTGTAACCTTGTCAGCAACAGGTACTTTCACTTTTTCTCAACAGCCATTTTGACCTGTGTGAAGTGGTTTTGATTTGCATTTCTCTAATGATCAGTGATATTGAGACTTTTTTCAAAGCTTGTTGACCACACGTATATCTTTAAAAAAAAAAAAAAAAAAAAAAAAAAAGACTTTTCAAAGCTTGTTGACCACACGTATATCTTTGTCAAAGTGTCTGTTCATATGTCCTTTGCCCACTTTTTTTTTTTTTTTTTTTTTTTTTTTTTTTTTTTTTTGAGACGGAGTCTCACTCTGTCACCCAGGCTGGAGTGCAGTGGCCTGATCTCGGCTCACTGCAACCTCCACTTCCTGGGTTCATGCCATTCTCCTGCCTCAGCCTCCTTGAGTAGCTGGGACTACAGGTGCCCGCCACCACGCCCAGCTAACCTTTTTTTTTTTTAATAGAGACAGGATTTCACCATGTTAGCTAGGATGGTCTCAATCTCCTGACCTCATGATCCGCCTGCCTCAGCCTCCCAAAGTGCTGGGATTACAAGGGTGAGCCACTATGCCCAGCCCCTTTGCCTGCTTTTTAACGGGGTTGTTTGTTTTCCTTTGGTAAATTTGTCTTAGTTCCTTATAGATGCTGGATATTAGACCTTTGTCAGATGCATAGTTTGCAAGTACTTTCTTCCCATTCTGTAGACTGTCTGTGTATTAACAGTTTCTCTTCCTGTGCAGAAGCTCTTAAATTCAATTAAATCCCATTTTTTAATTTTTGCTTTTGTTGGGATTGCTTTTGGTGCCTTTGTCATGAAATTTTTGCCCATGCTTGTGTCCTGATTGGTATCGCTTAGATAAGAAAATCTAGAAGAAACTATAAGAAACCCCTAGAAGACACTAGGGTTTTTAGAGTTTTGGGTTTTACATTTAAGTCTTTAATCCATCTTCAGTGAATTTTTGCATATGGTTTAAGGAAGGGATCCAGTTCAATTTTCTGCATATGGCTAGCCAGTTATCCCAGCACCATTTATTGAATATAGAGTCTTTTCTCCATTGCTTGTTTTTATCAGCTTTGTTGAAGATCAGATGTCTGTAGATCTGTGGCCTTGTTTTGGGGCTCTCTATTCCCTTCCATTGATCTATGTGCCTGTTTTTGTACCAGTATCATGCTGTTCTGGTTACTGTAGTGCCATAGTATAGTTTGAAGTCAGGTAGTGTGATGAATCCAGCTTTGTTCTTCTTGCTTAGTATTGCATTGGTTATTTGGGTGTTTTTTTGGTTCCATATGAATTAAAATTTTTTTTCTAGTTCTCTGAAGAATGTTGTTAGTAGTTTGATAAGAATAGTATTGAATCTATAAGTTGCTTTGGGCAGTATGGCAATTTTAAGGATATTGATTCTTCCTATCCATGAGTATGGGATGTTTTTCCATTTGTTTGTGTCTTCTCTGATTTATTTGACATTGTTTTGCAATTCTTATTGTAGAGATCTTTTACCTCCATGGTTATCTGTAGTCCTAGGTATTTTATTCTTTTTGTGGCAGTTGTCAGTTGTGAATGGGATTGCCTTCCTGAATTAGTTCTCAGCTTGGCTGTTGTTGGTGTATAAGAATGCTAGTGATTTTAGTACATTGATTTTGTGTCATGAAACTTTGGTGAAATGGTTTATCAGCTGAAGATTATGGAGTTTTCTAGAAATAGCATCATGTCATCTACTAACAGGGATAGTTTGACTTCCTCTCTTATTTGGATGCACTTTATTTCTTTCTCTTACCTAATTGCTCTAGTTAAGACTTCCAATACGATATTGAATAGAAGTGGTGAGAGAGGGCATCCTTGTCTTGCATCAGAGAACCTGCTGTTTTTTATTCGGTGTTTAAAAAAACATTTTATTGTAAAATCTAACAGATATAAAAGACTATATAAAACAAACCAAATACCCTTGTAACCACAGCTAGGTTTAAAAAATATATTTTTTCCATCCATCTATCCTAACCACAGTCCCTTCCCTCTTTTCAACAGTAATCACAGTCCTGATCTTTATGATAATCACGTCTTTATTTTCTTTGTAATTTTATCACCCAAATGTTCATGCCTAAGCACTAATTTAGTTATGCTTCGTACTCCTTTTTCTAGAACAGGAGTGTTTTGTTTTTAATTGTTCCTCCTTTTGTTTATTTCTTTTTTTTTCCAATGTGTTTTTGGGAACATGTGGTATTTGGTTACATGACTAGGTTCTTTAGTGGTGATTTGTAAGATTATGGTACAACCGTCACCCTGGCAGTGTACACTGTACCCAATGTGTAGTCTTTTGCCACCCTTTCCCCAAGTCCCCAAAGTCCATTTTTCATTCTTATGCCTTTGCATCCCCCCATAGCTTAGCTCCCACTTGTAAGTGAGAACATATGATGTTTGGTTTTCCATTCCTGAGTTACTTCACTTAGAATAATGGTCTTCAGTTCCAACCAGGTTGCTTCAAATGCCATTATTTCATTTATTTTTATGGCTGAATAGTATCTCATGGAGTGTGTGTGTGTGTGTGTATATATATATCTCATAACTTCTTTATTTACTCTTTGAATGATGGGCATTGGGCTGAAAGAACTTACATTTTTAACAACTTATTTAGGTGATCCTCAGGAACTCTAAACCCTGGGAATCACTGCTAGCCTAACTCCTTATACACCTAAGGAGCAAGATCTATAGCCTCCAATGTATCACATTTTATTTCCATAAGCCTTCAAAAACTGATCAAGGGTGATGAAGATGGCATTATTTATCTCAATTATGTATTTTCATTCTCCTTCCTAAAAGAAAATTATATGCCTCTATCTGTTAGCATGTGACTTGAAATGCTTGTCTTTGCGAATACTCCATGGTCTGAGGAGGTCATTTATATCACACTTGGCCATGTAACTTACTATGGCCAATGCAGTGTGAGTAAAAGTGCTATCTGCCACCTCTGGGTAGATGCTTCAAGAGCCATCCCATGGCTCTGTCACTGTTCTTTCCCTTTGCCACAAGACCAAGATAAGGCTCTTTCCTTTAGTCTCAATCACCAAATAAGGAAGATATGTGAGGCAGACCCACAGCTCTCCTAGAACCTGCATTGACAGAGTAGGAAATAAACTGTTATTGTCATGAAGCACTGAGACCTTGAACTTGTTTTTCTTTTTTAATGGAGCATAACATAAAGAAAGATTTCCAATCCATGGAGATAAAATAGTTTTTAAAATTTTCTTTCCTACAACAAATATATGGTCACATAAAAGCAAAAAGTAGCTTGTGTTGCCTCTAAGGTGGTGCAGTAAGTGCACCTACGAATGCCTAATGAAAGGAGAGTCCCAATGTGTATAGTAGCTACATACTAGTTTCATCCTGCCTTAGCACTCCCATCCTGCACTGTCTCAAGGACTGCAATAGAGCTTTAATCTGTCTTCAAAACAATGGAAGGATGGATTATTTTGCCCTGCCCTCCTCCTATACATATATACAGTTTGGGCAAGAAGAATACCACCAGGCAAATTGTTTTCAAATCTATCTAATTTCTTCAAGACTTTTCCTGTTTGTTTTTCTAAAATCACTTTCTCTCCTTCCATGGCAACAGGACAAGACAAAACGGTTCTCTTTTAATATTCAAGAGCTGTTGCTCTCAGACAATGTAGTGCTGTTCAGCAGAAAAGCCCTATTCAGCATATTAAAAATCCCATTAACTCTTCCCTTCTCATCACTTGTGAATTACAGATACCCTGGTCAATGCCCTTGTCAGATACTGATTTCATCTCGTTTTAAACACATATCAGAATGAAAAACAAAGTATATGGCTATTTCTACCTACTCATGTCTCACTATAAATAAATGAAATGGCAGGGTTCTGAAGTTGATACATAACATTAACTTGATAAATACTATTTGAATCTGGAGACTTATACATGGAAAGGAATTTCCAGAAGCTACCTTTCTTTAGCTCCCAGTCATCTAAATTAATGAAAACATTTTGCAGTTAAAAAAAAATCGAAAAGATACTGGAAGCAAGTTTAATATGCTGAAAATATACATGCAAGTCTACTCTATACATGGGTGACAAGTAAGTCACTTAGAATTATATTAAAGCAATTACTACATGTCATTTGTGCTTCTTGATTAGTCCAGAGTCCCTATATAGT